AGAGAGAGAGAGAGAGAGAGAGTTACTAACAATAATTAAAATCGGGAATGGGAACGGGATAAGCTGGATAAGCTAGCTTTCACTACTGTTAATGTTTATATTTGCAAGAATTTCTTTTAGGGGGAAATTTGAGTTAATTGTTTATGGCCCATAAATAATGGTATGTAAACCATCTGGACGATTTTTGAGCATATTTGTCTTATGGTAATAAAATCATGCCATGGAATGCAGTGGAGACTGACATTGAAATGATGCATAGGACTGGACTTTGTTTGAGAAGAACTAGTGTATAACAGTGTATTACCCTTATATTTGCTGTTAATTGAACATGTTAAAATCTAATACAGTATAAAGTACATAGGCTCACTCTGTGGGACGCAATACTCAATTATGGTTTTGTAATAAAACGTTTACTTACTTTTACTTAATATAACAAAAGTTTAATTTATAATGTAAGTTTATAAATTATAACTTAATATATTTATAACGGTGAATTAATATTTAATCATAATAATTATAATATTTGACAATAATTAAAAGTGCTTTTGGTATAGAGTTTATAAGGTCGCGTTATAGCCTGGTCAGTTATTGTTTAACTGCATATAAGTTTATTGTTATAAGCTCAATAGATGGACGTATATTTCTAACTTGTTTGCTTAAATAAGTTATATTAACTCAAGTTTAAAATTGCAATTAAATGAATTAAAATTTAAAATTACATTTAACATTTCCTGATAAATATTAAAAAAAAGTCTATGTATAATATACTCATAGACTGGTAAATAAAAAGTTTAGTATATAAAACCCAGATCATAAATGATTATCAACATGCATAAATGTAAAATCAAAATTGCGATTAAAAATTGTAATTGACGTCTCAATAAATTAATAAATCCAATTAAAATATTATCATTTAAATGTTTAACAAATAAATAACTTCATTAACCAATTTATTACTGATATTGTTACAGGCCCTAAACTTTAGAAATTGTGTTTGTGTTTATTATACCATGTCTATATTACTATTTAAGCATGGTCAATATTCTATAAAATATAAACTTACTATTTAGCTAGTTTATACACACTTTATAACTATTATTTCATAAACATTAAATAGGTAATCTACCTGTTGTGAGGCAAACATGAGGGTCGTTTGCTATACTAAACACACTAACGGTATATTACACACACCCCTGTAATATACAGCCCCAGTATATACAGTATATCCACAGATATATTGCATACCTGGGAGTGAAAGACACTATCAGTTAGACATTTATAACACATATCTGTAGTACAAAAGTGAGAGACAAGTAAAAAAAAACTGGTTGTATATTAATAGTGAAGGTTGTATTAAACGCATGCAATCGTTAGCTAGAAGTTTGTTGTACGCGATTAATCACATCACTGGATACTATAGCGAATACGTACTGTAGCGGCACAACATGTGATTCAATCCTATCAGTCTAGCTAGAGTTTTTTCATTGTAATAAATGTTTTATAGAGTTAGTTTGCCAGTTGTTTTCCAGTAGTTCAACATGTGCTTTTAAAAAGTTTTTGTGTGTGTGGTTTTAGTGTGTTTTATTATGGTTAAAAATTAATAAAGTTTTATTTTAATTTGTGGATACCATTTGCGCATGGTAAGCAAAAATAATTTAAATAGTTATTTTAAAACGTTTTTTACATTATTGTATTTTAAAATGTGTGGTACTATTAATATCATGTTTATCTCATTTTAATCTTTATTGTAATATTATGCCATTTGTTGTAAAATAATAGCTATTTATATATCGTTTATTTATTTAGCATAATATGTTTGAATTAAATACCATGATGGCAATTTGAATAACCATATTGTTTAGTCTGGACAGTTTCCCTGTTTATACAACTTACAGTTATATTTAATTGATAAATATTGTACACTATTGAACGACATTAGGTTTAGTGTACAGTATTTAATAAGAGATATAAACATGGTCAAAAACTAATAAAAATTATATGATTACAAGTTAACAAGTTACATTTACATATTTTCACTGAAATTACAAAAAACTTGCAATTCCATTGAAAATAAGCCTAAAGTAGTTGTAAAATAGTGTTTAAAATTAAATAAATAATATTTTTTTACGCATTTTGTTATCAAAACATTTTCACTGATATGACGAGTGTTGATATAAATTAAGTTTTATGTTTATGTAATCAATTAAAATGCATTAATTTTATTGATTAATGTAAATATAAATCACTGCATATTCAGTGAAATACACTTTTGATTTTGATTAATAATAATATATTTTTCAATACTTTTAAAAACAATTTTTATAAATACTATTCATAAATGGTATGCATTTTTAGGTCAAATGTCTCGTTAGGTTTGACATCGAGAGAGAAAAACGGGTCAAAAATGTTATAAAAATAATTATTTTCTTGTATTAAATATAAGGAAAAGTTATTTTCATTAAAAAACATGTTTTTCTCTCAAGAAATTCAAACTAGGAATAAAAATTGCAATTTAAATTACATTGTATTTTATTGTTATATTAATTGTTTGAGAAAAATATTTTATTTAACACTAGAAGTAGTTTTACTTTTTATTAAAAAAAAATAAAGTTTTTATTACATTAATAAATAGGATATCATTACAAAAATTTTAATCAAAATACTTGGTTGAGTAATAAATCACATTATTATACTGTATTGTCTGCTATGTTTGTTAATAGTGAATACCCGTTATACTGTAATTAACAATTAAAGTTCAGTACAAAATACAATGTATGATAGTTTATAAATCAAAATTTATATCTGATCCCAGGGTATCCGTTGCCTACCGTTTCACTGATATTACATGATATTCATTGAAACTATTATTACAGCGAACTTTAATTCACTGTATATAATAGAGTGACACAGATTTTAGACCAAGTTATTTGTCTGTTTGGTTTCAAATAACATTAAACCCATTATAGTCTCTGTATATCTAATACTTATCACGTTTGTTTATTTTATTAAAGTGGTATTTAGTTTTAGTAAATATTATAATGATGATTGTGCAAACAAATGTGGTTAAATAACTGAAATAATGCACTATATTTATTTAATATATAACGTTTCTAAATAGAGTGAATTTTTGTGATTATTTATAAAGGTGCATTTAATGTTAAATGTGAATTATCAATTGTTTTATCGCAAGTAAATAATGCTTGATATTTTGATATGTGTATCAATATCACCATAGTTAGTTGTAACTTATTATAGTTATAAGTTTTAGTAATTTTAGTAATAGATAAAAATTATATTTAATAATTTTTTGACTATATTGTTCAAAATATTATTAAATTTATTTGTTGTTACAAATATTATTATTAAAGCAACGACTAATCGATTAACTTAATGTGAGTTTTCATTATTTATTTGATTTATGATTTTAATTATTTTACAATTCATTAAACAATTTAATTTTTATAAACAAATAGTTTATTAATTTTTAATTGTGCCGGCATTATATGGCAAAAACTGGATTAGAAAACATCATGTGTAAAAATATAATTAATTATTTTTCAAATGGTATTTTCAATGACAGTATAATAATTGATAATCACTTCTCAAGCAATTCATAACTTTGAAAATAGTGTACAGAATATTCAAAATAAAGTAGTATGTAATAAAATTTTATAGAATAAAATTTACATTCGGTATATTTTAAAAGTTATATTTTTATTTTAATATAATTAAATGATTTGTCAAAACAATGATAAGTGCATTTTAAAACCCTTTTAAAACAACAAACATGACTTTAAAATAGTGATGTCATTCATTGAAATAATCGTTAAAATTGGTTGTATTTTTAAATATATAAATGTTTGTTATTTAATTCCATATGTTTTACCATGTGTTTCGTTAGTGTTATTTTGTTTGCAATTTATACTGTAAATACAGTATTTTATTGACTTTTACACTAACAGTAAACTAATTTTCAAATAACTATTGACTGTCTATAATGTGTACTCAATATCGTTGCTAATTGTATGTCAAATATATTGTGAATTAAATGCAAATCTATAGGAAATTGACAAAATATTATATCTCGGTGTCTATTATAACAATAATAACATTGTTTGTTAATTACAGTATAATCTTGTACCGTTCATTGTATTATGAATTAGCCATGTGTGTTTAATTTGTTAATTTCCGGCAACAAACAAAATGCAACAAATGCTTGAATAGTTGCCTAAAGACAATAGGAAAAACTTTTGCAAAAATAATCATTATTAATAATTCATTAATTAGACATTAAAAGTGCATAATACTGTATTAGTGAATATGATAAGTGTGCCCGGTATAGTGTACGGGAAAATTGATTCTGTAAATAATAAGTTATTAATAACATGAGTTGCCTGTTGCAAAAAATATTTAAAATTAATTATTACAGTGAAACTACTATGAATTTATTATACAATTATATTTACCTTAATTAATTAATTAAAATAATACTTAACATATTAAATGCGCTTGGTCAATTTAACAAAAACTTACTCAACGACATCGTTGACTCTATTCCCGCCAGACATGACCGCCAATCAGCTGAGTGTCGGTTACGCCAACCCTGTGGTCGACGACACGGCCCGACTAGACTCGTCCGATTACGAAGACCTCCCGGCGCTGCCCACCGCCGATTGCGAGGACTTTACTGATGGTCACTGTAAGCACACGTTTTATTAACCTCGTTTAAAATACCTTAAAATAAATTACTTTAAATAAATACCTTAAATAAATGCTAGATCATTTAATTTAAATTGCCAATATTCATGATAAATGTAGTAGAGTTAATTAATATTTCATGAACCAGCGTGAGTTTGCTATATTGCAAAGTTAGACACATGTATTTATTTACAATACAGCCATGATTAAATTGATAGAGATTAGCAAAACATGCAAAATTTAATTAATGTAACATAATACTTTAATGCATATTTAATTAAATTATTTAGACTGTTGTGTAGACATATTAAATAAATGTACATTTTCTTTTCAAACATGGTACGAAAACAACAACCACCATCATCGCTCCGACACCCAGCATCGGTACAGCACATACCCTACACCCGTCTCTACGAGCCGACCACTGGGTTCTCGGACCCGAGCAACTCGTGGCTACTGCCCGGGTGTCCGCTAACGGTCACCATCACGGCGGCCGAGCACCGGGACGGCCACCACATACTCAACCCCTACCTGTACACCATTCAGGTGGAGCACCAGCAGTTCAAATGGCTGGTCCGCCGTCGGCACACCCACTTCAAGTCCCTGCATCAGGCGTTGCTTATGTACCGGACGTCGTTGCGCATACCGTTGCCCCTCAAGACACTGCGGGACAGGCGTAAGAGTGTTAGCGCCAAGAATAGAAAACCGGTGCCCCGTTTTCCCCGTCGGCCCGAGGCCTTGATTTTGTCGCCCGAGGCGTTGGATGAGCGCAAGGTATGTTTGATTGGTTGGTGTTAGGGTTGAGTGAGTTTTGTCTTGATTGTTAATTTAATAGGGTTAATATATCGATGTTATTCAATATGATTTTGGCTATTGTTTATGAGTACTTTGCAGAATATTCTGTGAATTTGATGTGTAATTTAGATGGAAGTTATTGTTATGTAATTTGTTTACTAAACTAATCACATAATAATAAACATTGAGAGAGAGAGAGAGAGAGAGAGAGAGAGTGAGATTGCTGATAATATTTA